TAATATGGCCATATTAGAATATTAAGCCAAATATAAGAAATTTCAAATAGTTTTATCAAGTATAAGAGTCTTATTAAACATTTGGTTGTGCAAAATTTTAATGCTGCATGTTCTATAATTTCTGGGATATATTCAAATAAGTTTTGAAATTTTAGGGCATCTTTATTCGAATCACTGCCAAAGTCACATCCAATTTAAATAGGTTTCCGGCATTTCCTATTACAAATCATATCTGAAAATTTGGTGAGTTTAGCTCAATTTATGTTTTGAGTTATCGATGTAATCGAAATATTCATAAAAATCTAAGTGTTCGAAGAATTACAAACAATCCTTATTTTATAATGTAGTCAATTAATTTATCCATTATCCAAAGATCGTGAATCGAGAATTATTTAAGTTACCTGATCCAAGATGTGCTTATTTCAAGACATCCAAAAATTACGTTATTATAACTTCAAAATATAGTTTGTTTACTAAAAATATTTTGGTTTGACTAGAGTTTCGAACAGAATTTACATTCGATAAGTTATTCACTAAAATTTTAAATTTGCCACAAATTTTATTCATTTGGCCGGTCATAATGAATTCATTAATTGAAAAATATCTATATATGTATACAAATTATTTATTTCACAACCAATCTACATGCCTCCTTTTACGCATAAAATTTAAAATTTTACACAAATTTCTTAACCTTATTAACTTAAGTATGTGTGCTATGTATGCATATAAACTTTTTTATTTATATCAATTAATTTTCCATAATGGACGTAATAATAAATTTATAATACTTTCTGATTTTATAAAGAAAACATTTTTCATAAATTTATTTTAGAAATTCCTGCGGCTACCATTTATGGATTAAAATATAAATGTCTCCAAAAATATTGATAGTAGCATTAAAAGGTGATAATAAAATTAACATGCTTTTGAATATAATTACGAGTATTAATAAATAAAATTTTACAGAGTAGCAAATGAATTTATATAAAAAGTAATTGAATTATAAGTACATAAGCAAATCATACATACATAATTATTTTAAAATACAATACATTTAGTAAAACTAGGCATATGTGTGTGAAAATTTAAATGGAATTGGGGTGTCTGAATTCTTTTTGTACAAATTATTGCCATTAATTAAGTCTAATTAAAATATCAAATTATGAAATTCATAATTTATTCAAAAATTTCGTTTCCTATTTAATTTACGTTATATTATAAATTATGTACTTAAAATAAAATACGGTTCAGAGCTGAAGTTCAAAAAATTCAGAAAATTATAGAAAATATACTAAAAACGTGAACTGACTGCTAATTTGACTGCTAATTGTTAATGTTGCTAGCTATACAAATTTTAAAAGAGTAACACAATTATGAAAAATTTCGCAGTTCATATTTTCAAAGTTCTTTTAAGAGAAATTCAAGTACTTGCATAGAAACACATTCTATTCAAGAAAAGGTACTTTTAAGCTTAGAAAAATGTAGTATCATCCCTGACATTTGCATTGTAATCATATTTTAACTTTTATGAATCGAAACTCACACACAAAGCGTTATTGTATAAGTGTGTCTGTGTTAATAAAAAACGTTTGCAAGAAATTTCTTTTTCAATTTTACCATGTTTAAATAGCTCAATATGAAAATTAAATTTCCCCCTAAGGATATTTTAAAAGAACGTTTTAAGAAAATTTAATTTATACATGCGGTGGCGGTTCTTAAGATTGTTTTCAACTGTGTAGAGTTTTTAATTATATAGAAAAGTTTATATATATATACTTTTACTTTAGGTACCCTAAAATTCTGTCGTACATGTAATAGGAATAAATAATAAATTCTATATTGTAGTTGAGTTTAAATTATAGTTGAGATTTAGGGAGGAAACGGAATGTTTTACGCTTATATACGACTTTGTGGTATAGAGTTTTCTTTCATAATTCACATTTAATATGAAACTTTTGAGTATTTAAGGTGAATATCATATTTTTAGATTTTTTTATTGACAATAAATTTAATTTTTAATAATACAACCATATTGTTTTTGAATATATTTTTTACCGACCGTATTGTGTATACAATAGGTAGTTTATGTGATGGCAACAAATTTTGTATATCGAGTTTTCGGTGGGAATGCACTTCTCCATAGTAGGGAAGTGTAAGTAAACTATTTTTAGCAACCTGTCGGTCTGTCGGTCTGTTTGTGCACGAGTGTATCTCAAGTTCGGCTGAACCGATTTTAATGAAATTTTATATGTAAGTTTATCAGGGCTCGAAAACTGATTTGCGGGGGCCGATTTTATATTTTTCAACATTCCATTATTCCATTAATTTCCATTAACAAGAAATTCCATTCATTTGAAATATCAAATTTCAAATTAATGGAATTTCTTGAAATTTGATATTTGAGTTCTGGTTGTTTCCGGAAATAACTGGCGAGCATTTCAGTAAATTCGGGTGTCACAGAGCAAAACTCTACTAAGAGCCAAATTTACATTTTTCTATAGGTATGTTAACTATAAGCTTGCTATAATGTCCTAAAAATTGAAAAGAAGTATTTAACAGACCTTTTTGTAATATTCTGTAACACTTTCATTTAACTAGGCAATACACATCGCGGTCGGATATGTGCTGACCACATCAGATTTTATTTTTCTTAAGTTCGCTATATCATTTTACTTTTCATATTTTCTCTTTTTTTATTTCAGGATAAAAAGAAAAATTCAAGGTTTGCTTTTGCCAATCGATTCTTTAAAAAAAATTTCTTTATCATTATAGAACGGAAGTCTTAATTTATTTGTTTAAAATAATAAAAATTTTTGTTTTTCCGTTTTTATGAAAAAATTTGGAAATTTATTTTTTAAATGTTAAAGGAATTGCCGTAAAACCTCTTGGCGATAAAAAAAAATTGGCTAAGTCAAAATAAGTAAATTCGAGTAAATTTGATTTGAATATTTAAAAAAGAATTCAACGTAAGGAACTTTGGTAGAATAGAGTTGGAAGATTTTAGGTCAATAATTATTGTTTACTCGATTACTTAATGTACAATTATGTTATTTTTTGCTTGGTCTTGAAAATGTTTAATCGACTCTTAATAACATTGTCTAATATTATAAAAAATACTTAGTTTTTTCGCATAAGAAAATTTTGTATAAAGCATCATATAGAATGGGCCAAATTAACTCAAATTTTGCTCTTATTATTGATATACAATACATACATACGACATTATCAAACATAATATAATACATAAATCCGACAACTTCAAAGAAACTATTAACTCAATTTTGTGTCAAAATTTACTTAACCCGCTACAATTTTCTACTACATAAAGAAATAATAATGTCTGGGATTTTATATTGTTATTTGAAAACAATTTGTGTACAGGTCGGAACGGATGTCGTGCTTTATTCATTTTGACTACAATATATTATTTGAAAATTATCTGTAATACGTCACAGATATAGAGCCTCCTAGAGATTTTCGGGGAAAATGTAAATTTATATTAAAAATCTACTTTTGTTTTTCAATAAAAGAATAAAATTTTCTTGAATTATAGGACGGGGAAAATATTAAATTTTCTAATATAAATTATTAAAGAATTTTCTTTAGTAGGTTTGTATAGCAAAAATTAAGTTTAAAATTTCTTATTAAATATAAAAACGTAAGTAAGAAATTTTTTATTTCCGGACTAGTGTATAGAAGATAAATAAGAAGTTTTGTCTGCACTTTTTTAAATTTCATTGTCATAATTTTATGTGGAATGGAATTTACACCACACTCTTTCAATATTTTTCGGGAAAATGATTTTATCCCAGAAACAAAATATTGCTTTTTTTTACTTTTGTTATATGTAGTGTTAGTGGTATAATAATTTTTAGAATCTAAATATCCTGCTAGATTTTCTGTTTTAATAATATTTCAATGCCAACGGTTTTTAAAGCGGATGTAAAGATAAATGAAAATTTTCTTTGTATAGATACAGGATTTTAACAAATACAATTTTCTGAGTACGTTCATCTTTTCAGGAAATTATAGGTAAAAATACATAAACAAATATGAAATTAAATGAGTTCTTTTCTTTGAATAAATAATAGAGGAGTTCCGATACAATTATTCAAAACAGTTACAAAAAAAGAAGAAACGAAATTTTCAAAAGCTGACAATTATTTAATTTATATGAAGTTTTTGAGTTTATCTTATTCTTTTTCGATTTTGTTGTGATATAGTTAAGATATTTTCGCGCCTTATTTTTAACTTGGGTTATCAGAAACTGAACCATTGTCTTGGTTCTTGACAAAAAATGCGTGACGACACAATATTAATGAGACCCAGTGTCACAGCGGAGACCATTATATCATAAAATGAGAAAAAAAGCCCATTGCTCTAAACTAAACCCTCTTTTTCATATCTGCCTAATTTTAAAACGGCTACGTATACCAATATGAAAAAACTAATTTCTTTATTCCTGATTTGTCGCGTTAAAAAAGGCGGTCGCCCATTGAGTAAATTGGAAGGAAGAATGCATGCATAGCAATTGTATTGCGTGCTGGATATTGCTCTCCTTTTACTTGTCAAAATAATATTGCTTTGTTTGATACTGCTTTGAACGCTCCGGAAAATAAAAACCATATGAAAACCTATTATAAGGTTTAAGGTATTCAAAAATTTTTACACCGTTTTATATCTTTTTTTTCCAATTGAGAAGAGCTTTTTAAAAATGATTAATTTTTCAAACAAGATGTGAATTTAATTTTGAATATTTTGAAAGGTACACAAATTTTTGTAGAAAAACTTTATGAGTAAAACAATTTCAAAAAACCAAAAGAAAATGTTTTTTTTTTGTGATATTTTTGTATGAGAACAAAATGTTTTTCATCTTTTTGTTTAAGAAAAATTAAAAAAAAAAACAACTTTTTAACTGTACTTGCAAACATACACAATACTTAAATAAAAATTTAATTATTATCCTTGAAAAACATTTAAAATATTTTATATCTTACCTTCTACTTTGACGCATTTGTCCAATACGTATATCTCTTTGTTCTTGCCATCGATTCAACTGATGACGTAGTGCACTTCTCACTTCAGAATTTAAAAAACAGTAAAGTAAAGATACTGAAAATCCCTGATATAGAAACGAAACAAAAAAAAAAACATCAACAAGATTTAATAAGGATAAAAGTTTAAAAAATAAGGGTAAAAAGCAGAAAACAAAGAGAAGAAAAATTATTTGTTTATCGTTGAGTTTTCTGTTTTTTACAAAAAAATTTTTATTTACCTGTGTACTTATCAATAATGCTCTTACGATTTGAAAAATACTTCCTATAACACCTTGATCTGGTCCCCATAAAACAACTAAATAAGTAATTCCAAAAAGTGGTATCAATACTAGTAAAGCTTTAGCAGCTTTACGATACTGTCTTGTTTCTATGGTATTTGCTGAACGAAGTTTTGTTATAAGAACCTGTTATATATGTATATATACATAAGAATATTTAGATATTGTTTTTTTTAATGAGAAAAACAGGTTTAAATATTTGTTTATTTTTATTTTTGTTTTTTAATTTTTTCCAGAAAAAGATGACTTTATAATGTGATTCTTATAAAAGGATTTATTTATTTTTTTTTTCGAAATTATGAAAAATATATATTTTTGGAAAAGATTTGTTTTCACATTAAACAAGAATTTGAATTATTTATAAATTTCAGTAACAGCCAGTATTAATAAAGAAATCAGTTCATGAGTTGCATTTGCTGAATTTTGTTTCAATATATTAAAGTAATTTTGAAGTCACTGTATTTACATATCGTCGGCAAAACTGTGATACCACGTAAGTGCAAATATTTCCAAAAGTACTTTACCAATTTTCTGTTTAGGAAATGTCAAACAAATTTATCAAAATATGAAAATTATTTAAAGAATATGTAATTATTTATTAGTTTTTACTGTTTCGTAAATTTTAAACATGGACTGTTTGTGATATCATAAACAAAAAATTGATAAAGTACTTTTGGAAATATTTGCGCTTTCGTGGTATCACAGTTTTGCCGACGATATGTATATGCTTAATAATTTTCTCATTTGAGAGAGTTTGTTATTTAAAAAGGAAAATTAAACCGATTTTTTCTTTCTTTAAACAAAAATTAGCCGTTTGGACAATTTAATATTTTTTGGCTTTTCCGAATTCGCAATGCTGACTTTTCTTAAATAGTTTAATTACAATTATTGACAAACTGCGACGGTTGCATTCAAATTGGAAATCATTGTTGCTGAATCTAAATTAACGCGGCATACGGCTAGTTGCTCTCAAAATTTATATTGGTAAACACATTTTATATTGAGTCTTCGTCCAGATTGAACTTAAAATTTTTCGTGTTAATTTAGGTGTACAACACTTAAGGTACGTTGTACTAAACAATATTGTTTTGTTTAAAAATTCCTCAATGCCACTTTTGAAATTTGACAACGTATTTGTTGAGGTAATTGACTTTACAAATTGGTCGATTTCTCTTTTATATTTTCATTATGTAATAGCCGAATAAAAAATTAAATAGTCGAGTTATTGTAATGCGAAACACAACAACGCCATATTTTAGTTAAAAATGAGAAAGACAGTTATTAAAAAATTCATTTTTTGTTTTAAATAAATTATTAAAAAAGGTGAAACAAGACGAAATTGAGTAAATAATTTTTATTTTACAAAAAAATTTAATATTTAAAATTTCTTTTTCTTTTATTATTCATTCTTATTTATTTTCATTTCGTTGCTCCTTTTCGAAAAATGTTTACTTTACTTGTTATACAAGGATATTACAAATATTTAAAAAATTCTATAAGTTTATTTAGTGTCATTATTTTGGGTTAAATTTTATCTTAAATTTCTCCAGAATAATTTTTGAACTTGTTCTGTATAAGGTGTACATTAAAAGTTTTAAAAAATCGTGAAAATATATAGCATTGTGTTTATACGTACATATATACATAATGTTGACATAGAATGAGTTTTAATTAAAAAATATAATTTATATTTCAATTATGTTTTGATAAATTTTAATAATAAGAAAATTGTGCTCCTAATTACATATAACCCAGTTGGAATTCTCGTCGAAACGAAGTGTTTGAATTAAGGCGGTTCAGTTTTAGAAAAATTAAGATTTAGGAAAAAAAGAAAATTTTTAATATTTTGGAGAACTAAACAGAAAATATTGTTTAAAATTGGTTCTTGAATCGCATTTAGCTCTACAATTGATTATATCATGCATTATTAAAATTGTTTTAGGAGAAAGTTGAAAGTAAGGATTAAGAATATACAAAAATTTAAAAAATGATAAAGTTTTTTGTCCTGCATTTTTATGTCACGAAAGTTTAGTAATAAGAAAGCAATAATAATGCAAAAGTTTAATATAAATGTAATGTGAACAGGCACACTATAAAATTATTACACTTAAATCCGCTGACTATTTTCTTAGTAATTCTTTACATTAAGACCAAAGTTCTGTTCCAGAGTCTTGACACAGCTTAAAATTTGATTATACACTCACATGTTCAAAGTAAATTCAGACATAAATTTTCGTGAAAATCGGTTCAGCTGACCTTAAGGAAAGCGACTGCACAGACAGATAGACTGACAGAGAGACGAGCGGACAAACAAACAGACAGCCTGACATCACTCCGAAAATAATTTATTTACGTTTCCTTAGCGTGGAGAAGCACATTTCCGCCGCATATATGAAATTTGATGTCACAACATAACCTAATTTATACGGTCGGTAATAATTAAGCAATGAAATTTAATAGAATTTTCAGTATTTGAGAAAATAAACAATTCCCATTATTTAAAAATTCATATTTATTTTTAATATTATAATTTTATAAATATTATTTTGTATACATACCCACATAATTCTTAATAAGAATAATAAATTTAAAATTAGTGCAGCTATAATAGGACCCTTAAATATCCAATCAATTTCAGACTCTTTCATCCATGGACATTCAATTGCTAATTTTAAATGAGCCTAAAAACGAAACAGTTTTTTAAATTAAAACTTTTAAAAAAGAAGCACTTTTAGTAGGTTAATAGAACTATTGCTATACAATTACCAAGTCGTTAGATTCCTCACTCGATGATACAATGGATCTAGGAATAGCCCATGAAATCACAATGATGGCAGGAGCAGCTATTTTATTTTTGTATAAAATGAAACGAAAATATTAAATTTCATAAAGAAGCATAATAATTTGAAAACTTTAAAATTTTAATTTAACTAAATGATGAAAATCCTACTAATTATAGTTGACTTTTTGAAGAAATGATAATTTATTTTTTTATGTTTGAGGGAATTTATTATTTAACTAGCTTTAAAATGTGAAATGTTAGTCTCTTTTGAGAAGGATATGCATAGTGATGTAAAAGGATTATATTTTGATAATAAAAAAAATATATTTATATTTTGGAAGTTGTTTTCTCTGGATTAAATTTTATAAGGTTTCTTTCAGTAACAATGATATAGCATATACAAAATACATACACATAGTGCCTTGCAAATGAAAATAATCGTTAGAAGATAATTTTTATTAAAACTCAAAATTTAACATTTTTAATTTAGAAATATCTTTAAAAAACATTTTTTAAATTTTTAAAGTTTTTTAAGTTTTTAAAGTAAAAATCAAGTAGAAAATTTGCCGAAATCGCATGTTGAAAAAATTTAAACCGAATATTATAAAATTATTATTATTTCAAAAATCCGGTAAGTTTAAGATTTTCTTATTAAAAGCAGAAAATGAAAAAGTATAGAGTTCAACTATAAAATAAAAATTTCGGATATTCTGATCTATGTATATCGGATTTCGACGAATTCCCAGAGAAACATAATTTTTATCGGATTTTAAATTATGCTGCAAGTTAAATTTTACTCGATTCTGAGTTAATTACCACTTTTAGTTTCTATACTTTCTTTTAAAAGCGAACCAAATTGAAACCTTTGTATTATTTTTTCATAATATCAATGTACATATGTAAGTAAAAGGGTCCCTCTTTTAATATTGGAATCATTTTATTGTATAGACTTATGGAAAATTTTGATCTTTTCAATTATTATATGTACATGTATTTATACCTTCAGTTTGATATACATAAAATTATATATATGATCAAAAAATTTCTTCAATGAAAGTGTTAGTAATTATTTCGAAATATAAATTTTTTTTTAGGTGCATGAAACCTAAAGAATAGTACTTTCAAAACCATAGAAAATGGGGTTCCACAGTGTTTTATACTGTTATTTTCTTCTAAAGAAGAAATCTAAGAAAAGAAAGCTAATGAGAAGAAAATCAGCTTTGATAAAGTGCGAATATAGCGCACGAAATATATTATCAAAAATAAAAGTATTTTATTCCCAATCAAAGGGAATATATGTACATGAGTTTTCGCCTAAATTATAATTTGTTATAAAAAGATAGAGGATCCTCTATTAAAAGAGGATCGAAAATTGGTAAAACATTTGCTCCGGATTGGGTGCCAGATCTCAAGGCTTTCCGAGTTCCAGGGATTTTAACGAATTCTCACGTAATTTTTACTTATCCAAGTTTTTTAGCACTTTTTGAAAAAAAGTGCTTATTAGTTTCACGCTGAAATTTCAGCAGCTTTTAGACACTTATAAATAATTTATTTCGTTAGAAGAAAATTTTTTTCCATCTTCACCCCCTCTCAAATTATCGCTTTTTGAAATTTCTAAAATTTGAATTTTTGACGCCTTATATTTTTGAAGCCGCAAGTTTTTTCAAATTTCTACAAACGCAAAAAGCATACGGTAGATTCCATGACGTTAAAAAATGTAATTATTTTTCTTAACTCACACAATTAAACCTTAAAATCGAGCATTATATTACTTTTTGCTTTGTTTCAAAGACTGCATAAATTGTTCATCCTAAATATACGCAATCCTAGAAAAAGTTTCGTTTATGAATGAAAATAATTTTAATAGTGTGGTGGATATACATAGAAAAAACCATTGGTTTGACCCAACTTTATTTGATTATAACTTCCGTTCTGAAAAAGATGGGAACTTCAAACAAACAGTTTCTGAAAGGCCTAGTAAAGGGCTTGAAATTAAACATGTTGCTTGATTCTGTATCTTCGGAATACTAAGCATTCGAACTTCAGCCAAAATCAAATTTTTCCCATGTTTTATTTTTTCAGTTTTTTTTTAACTAGATAATTTCGTAAGAAATTTTTTTAATAGAACTTTTCACAGATGTTTAAACGTTAATTTTAATCCTCAAACATTAAAAAAAATTTTATGCTACAGAAGATATAGCACAAAAACCAAGTATTGTTAGCCACAAATTCAATTAAAATCAAACCAGATGTTGACAAAACTAAAATTAAATTTAATTTAATATTCCTTTATCCAAAAATTTTACAAATTTTTCTAAACAAACACCAAATTCTCCTATGAAATTCACCTTGTTTGGCAAAAATTTGTTTTTCTTCTTTAAAATCTATTTCTATTCAATTGCATATATTTCAAATTAATTGCTTTACTGGGACACCTCTTTAGTTGCATCAATCGTACACCAATTTAGTTTTTGTAGAAATATGTTTGAAATTTATTTAAAATCCCATTAAATTATTTATTAATTATTTATTTGCTTTATAATGTTAATACAATAGTATCATCTACAAACTCCATTTTGTGTAAAAAATTAAATTTTCCTATTAAAAAAAATTTTTTCTATCAAAATAAATGTCAAAATTTATATGGCATGTCTTTCAAAATTCGCTCCAGTTAGATAATTTTAATAACTTCAGATGCCAAATGGAGTCTGGATTCCGAAAATATTTTTTTCAAATTTTTAAATTGCACCCAATTTGAGAAAAATGCATTTAAAAATTTCAAACCATATAGGTACCATTTCTTATGAAAACAGGCAAAAATTAAAAACCTATAAATTTTCTTTACCAAGAAAAGTTTCGGAAAAAAATTTTCGATTACTAGATTTTTTTTTCGCCAATACAAAATTCTAGTTTTCTTTTCAAAAATTTCAAATTTTTTAAATTCAATTTTTGTTTTTAAATTAAAAAGTTTGTATAAAATTTCGTTTCAATTTTATTATTATTTGTTACATTTCAATAAAAAAATTAAAATTCAGATTTTTTATCAAAATAACGGCTCTTAAAATGCCAACTGTTTTTTCGAGTGACTCTTGTCATTAATGACAGTTGATAATTACAACGCTTAAAATCCTTGCCTTTTAGGGTCTTTAAAATCTTGACATAGAAATGGTTTTAATATTTTTTAATGTTTGAGAACTTAAATTAAAGTTTAAACAGCTGGGAAAAACTCTATGAAAAAATTTCAAGGTATTAAAAAATTTCTTACGAAATTATTTGAATTCTTTAAATTCCGAAGTTACATAAAATATAAAATCAAGCAACTTGTTTATTTTAAGCCCTTTACTAGGCCTTTCTGAAACTGTTTGTTTGAAGTCCCCATCTTTTTCAGAACGGAAGTTATTTAAAAAAAATTGGATAAGTAAAAATTTCTTGAAAATTTGTTAAAATCCTTCGAACTCGGAAACCCTTGAGATTTGGCTCCCAGTCCGGAACTAATGTTTTACCCATTTTCGATCCTCTAACCAATGGTATATGTTGTTGTATACCTTTCTGAATCACCCTGTATATACAAAGAACAATTTTTTTTTTACTGATGAAAAAATAATTGAATTTGTTATAGAAAATGTAAGTACAATTTGATAACTCATTTTCCCGAAAATTTTCCTGGTTCGCTGAATTGACGGATATAGATTTTATATTCATCAAGATTTTCGAAAATGGCGTCAATAATTTTCTGAAAAATAAACGAAAATGCATATAATATTCAATTATTTTCTCCGATAAATACCTACTTAAGATAAATATACGGGTTTGTTTATGTTCATCATTTGCTTAACTACTCGAATTTGTAACATTCTGAGTGACTTGTGATGTATTTATCAGACCAATTGTGTGTTTTTAAATATTCCAAAAAAAGAAAATCGGTAAAATATTTATAAATGCATTAAATAAATAGCAAGATTTCATCCTACAATGATCTTGCTCAAAAGTAAACTTAAAATTTTGAAATTCATAAACTTAAAAATCTGAACTTATTTGCAAGAATTCTAAAAGAAATTTGGTATTTCTTTAAAGTTAAATATATTGTTGTTAATTTGGACTACATATAGAAAATTCAAAACAGAGAATTTTTTAATCTGTAAATTATCGCAAAATAATGGCAAAATTCTTAAAAAAACGTTTGGTTGACCCCAAAATGATTTTGTTATTGTAATATAAGAAAATATTGCCCAAGTTTTATGTATAAAAATATTATATTCAACCACAATGTAATGAGGAAGTGTATATAATTTTCTATTTAACGTTTTGTTAGAATACTTACCCCAACCTATTAGAGCATAAATGTTAAAGCGAATGTTATCACCAGAAAATGTCTTTACAACTAAAATGTATAAGTAGAGTCCTTTATAAGTGGAATAAAAATGAGATAAGAAAAAAATTTAAAGTGCATTAATATCGATTATAAAAAAAGCAGAATGTTTTTGTAATAATTAACAAAGTTTAAAAATTTAAAATCTAAATTTTAAAGCGACCAGAATTATTAAAAACTTTAAACTTCAAATGGAGAACAACGTATAAGAGGAGGTTTTTTATAAAAATTTTCCAATTTATAATAATTTTTTTCTTGTTCCAAGAAGGAACAACAGAATATTTCAAATTTCTAAAGCATAAAATAAGATAGTTTTCTTAAGCAAGCGATTCATTTACTTTAATCTCGAACTAGGATAAACAGAAAATAAAATTATTTACTTTATACTGTTTTATTGGGTGATTGAAGCTTTTTATATTTAGAAGAAGAAACATAAAACTTTTATTCAACTTGTATCAGAATTGATGAAGAAATCGTTGCCATTTGCTTTTAAAATAAAATTTCAATAAAATAGGCCACCTACTAAAGCAACGTTCACTTTACTTGCATATGACGTTCACTTTTTTTCACATATTCAGATATAAGATCAGAGATTGCACGAGCCCCTTAAAAAAATTGGTGAAAAGTGTTAATTAACACGATTTTGGTAAGCAATTGACATAGGTATTTTGCAAAACACGCAACAAATTGCTCACCGCATATAGTAATTAGAAAGCGCTATTTAAGCAATAGCCTTTCCATATTTTTTTTTTTCCTTCTTCACTCCCAGGAGGAGTATAGGGCTAGTGCATGATAGTAAAATCTTAAATCAAAGTGAGTAAAGACGAAAAAAATTAACTATTACATATGTAGAATGTTAAACTTTTATTTCAGTTTAAAACAACAAAAAAACGAAATGTTAAAAATATCAACAATTTTCTTATAAAAATGCTCTCTCTCAAGAGAGAGAGAAAATAAGAAAAAGAAAAAATCTATTGGGAAACTACCTAAAAAAATCCCCATTTTAAAATTTTAGTTTAAGTATCTGAATTTGCTTGAAAAGTATTGAAAAAACACTCAAGATTTATGGTGCATTCCTACAAATGTATACAAAAGCAAACGAAAGGACATTAACAAAAGTTAATCAAAATTTGATTCGCACCTGAGCGTTTACTTACATTCACTTACATTTACATAGGGGTTAATTTAAAATAATTCTAATTTAGATTGAAGAAAAAAAAATTTAACTCACCTTCAACCATCATCCAGAAAAAGTTTGTTACCGTAAAAAAATTTAATAAGAATACTAACACTATACAACCTGCTACACCAATTTGCACCGAAATCTGAAAAAACAGGGTATTAAATTTAATTTTCACTAGAAATTTTGTATAATATGTAAAGCTTATATATAGCTGTATGAATTTTTGTTAATTTTGATAGTCACCTAAACTAAGTTTTAAATTATTTTTGAATAACTTGTAGAATTTTAAGTTTAAAATTAGATTGAATTTCAGCGACAATTAAAATGAGCTTTATTTAATGAATTTCTGACTAAAAGTATTGCTCATCAGCGTGCAAAAATAAAATGCTATGCACTTTCAGCCGTTTTTGAATTATGTACTTTGTTTTTAAAATTGTATTCAACAGAATACGAAAGAAGTCTCCATTTTTTACGATTCAATTGGGAATATAGCTTTTACAGGTTACAATTTTTGTGTGCATGTTTAAATCAATTTATTTGAAAAGCAAAAATTGTATAAGTAACATCAATAAAATTAAGTATGAGCACAACAGGATATGAAGTATCTTAAATACAATAAAAAAAAATAAATAAATAAAATCAGAAAAAAATCAAAGCTAATGTGCTGTTTCTTTTTGTAAAAAGTCTTTGTTTTGTCTGATTCGTGCAGTGAAGAAGTCTACAAAAAAAAATCTATGAGTGTAAAATTTTTCTCTTTCCAAAAAAACAGAGCGAACGCATATTACAAAAACTTTTAAAAACTACAATTAGAAAAATAATAGTCAGCAAAAATACTTAACGTCATAAAATTAAAAAAAATATTTGCATTTGGTACAATTTTATGTTGACTGAATTTCGATTACATACACATATACATAGGTAAAAAAATTTGCTGATTTTTTGTTTCTATCTAATCTACGCCAATTATTATATACTTACATGTACAGAAAGCGTTAAAATCCACATTAAAGCGGACATAATATGTGTAAAAAATAAATTCGCATGTATCGTGTTACGTAAACATCTTAGCTCTCTATAATATAAAAAGTAAAGCTAATGAATTTAAATTTTAATTATTAAAAATTCATTTTAAAATTAAAGTTATATTAACTTACTTAAAATAGGTAAAAACTATTAACGCCAATGATAGTGATATAAGACTTAAAGAATAGCCTATTGAATATGTGATACTTGTTAATTCCGCTATTCCAAATTCAGATTCTGGAGGCGTATTCAAACTAATGTAATCGCAGGCTTCATAATCTGTTCTAGAATTCCATGTTCCATTAATATGACAATACCTTGTCGCATTCTCTAAAAAAAAAGAAATTTGGTTAGATCGAACATAAGTTTTTTTAAAAAGAATAGATTCAGATGTAGACGATTGCAGGAAAAAGAGGTTTTGTGGTCGATCATCTAAAAATACATTAAAAACTATATCTGTTATAAAAAAAACTTTTAGCGGTGAATTGTTAAGTTTTAAAATTTTAGTCCTCAACATACATTTGAATGAAAGTTTCCTTTTGTATGATCATTTTTAATGCCATAGTAAAAGATTTGAAAAATCTTCACAAAACTTTTTCGCAGAATCCTAAAAAGAAGCCCAATACTTTTTATTAATTTAAAAAAAATTCACTTACGTGATGTATCGTAACGCAAGCCCACTAATTCTTCCATACACGGTAATGATGCTATCGTTCCCCGAGGAGTTCTAGGCCAGCATAATACTGAATCAAAATTTGTTGGACAATAAGTATCATTTTCATAAAGTGATAGCTCTTCAAATTGGCGAATAAGGCATTGGGTTAGAGCTGTTTGATTGGCCGTCGATGTATTCGAATGTATAAAAAACTCTAGATCACTTAGTTCTCCAACTTCACTTGATGACTAAATAATAATAAAAAATAAATAGGTAAGACTTGCATGTTATAAACATTTTAAGTAGATAAATTTAATACAAATAATATATTGAAAATTTTTGAAACAAAATGCAAAGTGTGTCTTTTGTACTTTACTAATATGAAACACAATTATAAGTGCACGAATTGAAGCTTCTAAGTAATTTTAGTATATTATAGTTAGACGATGGTGGATGCACAAATAAGACACATATACGACTTCTCGACATTTTTCTCGACAAAATATGAGAAACCGAAGTTGTGGCAACGCCGTGGAAACTAGTTATATACAATATGTAAAGAACGAAAAATTTGACCCTTTGAACATTAATAAAAGTTTGTTTATTACATAAATATTATATTTAAATTATATATAATTGTAAAGATAGAAAACTACATAAATATTAACAAACTAATAAATATTAATTTACCATTAGAAGTTATTCAACATATTCACTTTTATAAATAGAATTTACAACATAATGATGTTTCACCAAATAAGCCAATAAAATGAGCAGTAAAATTTATAAAGAGAACAATTATGTATAAAGATAACGTAAAACAATGAGTGGGATAAGAAAATGATGATCTTCAAAACGCTTTTTTTTTAATTGATCTTTTACATTGCGCTGATTGCTTAGCTTGGGGGTGGAGTATCTGGTGGAGGCGTAACTGGTGGTGTTACATTTGGTGGAGGTGTATCTGGTGGAGGTGTGTCTGGTGGAGGTGTGGCTGGTGGTGTTGTACCTGTTGGAGGTGTATCTGGTGGTGTTCCAGCTGGTGGACATACTGGACACGGCACTGGTTCTGGACATGATACTGGTGGCGTAGGTTCTGGGCATGGTGTAAGTGCAGGAGGCTCTGGACATGGTGTAGGTACTGGAACTGGCGGACATGAAGGCGGTGTGGGTGTAACTGGAACTGGCGGACATGACGGTGGTGTGGATGGAACGGGAACTGGTGGACATGGCGGTGTTGTGGGTGGAACTGGAACTGGCGGACATGACGGTGGTGTGGATGGAACTGGAACTGGCGGACATGGCGGTGTAGTGGGTGGAACTGGAACTGGTGGACAAGGTGGTGGACTAGGTGATGGACATGTTGGTGTAGGAGATGGTGGTGATGGACATGATGGAGTTGTTGGTGGTGGTGAACATGGTGATGGAGTAGGAGAGGATTTTTTCGGCTTCGGTAATGGTCTTGGTAGTAAAGTTCCTGTAGAATTAAAAATTTGTTAAATTACATTTTTTGGCTACACTTAAATGAAATACCTATAGTTGATATTAAAGCTGATATTTGTCCACCTCTTTTTGGTGAACCTTTTTTATTTTTACGTAATGGGCCACCTTCACCTCCATTACGTTTCTTTAATAGACCTGGATTACTGCAAGTCAAATCAAAAGTTAACAGCAATAGCTGTACAAACAATATTACTTTAATTAGTTTCATTGTAACTCATATTACGGTAAGATTTTACTGATACCAAATTGATAATTGTGTCAGTTTTTATATCTAAATTTTAAGCTTTGAAATTTTTCGTACGTGAATTTTACGTACAGTGAACTAATTCCAATTTCTTTCAGGGTTAAAAACTACTAGAGCAATAATTGTTTTTTAATTTATATTTGAAAATTTTCGTCGCTAAAACGTGTTCGTATTTTCTCTTTTGTTTTTATTTTATTTGCAAAATAAAATAAAAAAATTTTATTTGCAAAATCACAAAATAAAAAGAGTGCGTAGAATTATGTATATTTTCATAAGATTTAGTACTAAATATGAAGTTTGGGTATATCGTATAACAAAATAGGCTTTTATATTATTTAACCTCACAAAATCTGTCATTTTGTATGTATGCAGCTCCACAAACCCTCTTTAGATTTATCAAATAGGAATTTTCAAACAAACTGTGTATTGTGCATTTGAGTCGATCTTATGAATTAATAATATGCAGTCGGTATTCTATATAGACTACATAGAGTTTGATTCTATTTTAAAAATCAATTTATGAAAAATTTTTGTTTATGAAATAGGATGCCAATTAAATTTCTGGCTGTAAATCTGTAGGTACATATTTTATGAAATTTAAGTTAAAATCAATTAGATTTTCAATTGAATTTTATAAAAATTATGACCTAAACTTAAATGTTATTAATAAGTAATACTGACATAATTTCAAAAGTTTTACAATATTTGACATTTTGACAACATAATTTTATTAAACATAATTGTTATTATGACATGTAAATTTTATTTAAAAAATGAGTGATTTACTATTCAATATGTTAAATACACTTTAAATATGTTATTATATAATTTATAACATACGTTATAGCAATAATGCTATATAAATTTAAGGTAACCAATATACAAACATTAATATTAAAATACATTTACTATGTGAGATACACAATATAAATATAAATATACAAAGATAAATATGCTATGGCATTTATGTCAATTTCATGTGCATATTATGTATGTATATATATATGTATATACATATAATTGGTATGCGACTACGTATTTGTTATTAGTATGCTTATTGTTCATAAATGCTAAAAGGCTGTGTGCAGATGAATGTTGTGTATGTATTTTAAAATTTGCAAAAATTTGATGCGTCAGCATATTGAACCCTACATTTTAAAAATTTTGAAATAATTTGAAAATTTAGATGATAATTATAGGTTCAATTGTTGAATCAGACTCTCTTTAATAATTTTTTAGTTAAATTTTTGGGCTGAAACATAAAATTTCGTTAAAGAGCTATGATCGAGAATGTAAAATTCATCTCTAGTATTCTTCAAAAGTTTAATGGCTTTTATATTCTCGACACTTTGGAAAAATATTAGATATACATGTATGTATGTATGTATTTAAATTTTTTTGAAAATATTGTTAACCCGAAATTATAGGACATCAGATAAAGTTTTTCAAATAATTTCTTTTTAACTTTTAATTCTAAATTTATTTTTATATAAAATTAAAGAGTAAGTTTCCATTACATCAGTGAAAATGAATTAATTCTGATGCATTTTGGGCTTATATTAAATAGCTGCAATTTGGGAAAACTTGAAAAAATTATTGTTTTTAAAATTCAACACAATTTTTTAATTAATTTTTTTTTTATACGCATATACATAACATACAAACATACATATTTAAATCCTGTACAATTTTCTATTTTTATAAAAAATTCAATTCAGCATCAAATTTTTGTGAATATAACGAGATTTTTTTGCAAATTATATTGTTTAACCAAACTGTTTTTATATATACATATGTACATTTTTTGTACACAATTCTAATTATGTATATATGTGCATATACTTACATACATACATATGTTTAAACTTAAAATATTAAAATGTTTTCAAAACGTATTAAAAACATACTAGATCCCTGTAAAATAATTTTGAAGTTTTTAAAAAATTCAAAATTAAAATTAAATAATTTTCTATACTGTAAAGTTTTTTCTATAAAAATTTAAAGGATTATTATTTCCTCGCTGAATTGCATTTGAAAATTCAGGGAAAAAAACTAATGATCTTATGTTAGATTTATTTGAGAAATCGTTCGAATTATTCAACAAATCTATTTAATACTACAACAGGGTTAAAGCAAAGTTAAAAATTCCAACACAAATTTCTTTGCATATAAAAATGCTTGTAAATTTAAAACTTAACTTCGATATGTCGTCCCATTTTATGAAATAATCTGTTATATATCGAGATTTAGTTAATATTTTGCAGATAAAATTTTTGACAATATCTGTCGTAAGTTAACTTAAGTTTTTTTTTTTAACCACAAAGTGGATGAAAATAATCTCAATGATTTTTAAAGAAAATTTTATTTTAATTTTATTCTCAAAACAAATATTTATTTTCTCTAAAATTTAACTTTTAAAATAATGTTCTATGACTCAAATATCACTTAATAAACATATACATACATCTTATGCATACATATATATTTCGTATTATCTATGCGTACATGCGGGAAAATTTCCATATTGTATATTCGTGTAAAGAGTAAATCAATGTACGTCAAATTATACGGGAAAATAAGCATGCCAATCTTCGTAATTCTTTTATAATGTAGAATAGAAGAATTATAATCTTATAATAGAAGAAAAGGAAATATACAAAATTTAAGGCACATTTGTTGAAGTGCGATTAGTGTTTGCTAAATTTAATTTTTAAATTAAATTGATTAATTATTCTTGGCCACTATCAGAATTGCTTTAAAGCTTTATAACTTGTGCAGTGAAGCTAATGTATAATTAACTAAAGCTATGGTATATTTAACTAAAGAAATTAACTAGTTTTTTAACTCATTTGTTTCTACGAAATAATTTAGAATTTTTTACTTTAAATTCACGTGATAATATTGAAATTACTCCATTTTTCACTTGAAGACTACAAAAAATATGTAAGTGAGTATATGATAAAATGTTGATGTCAACCAATAAGTTACAAAAATACTATCACAGTCTTCGATTCTATATACAAAAACATTAAAAGAATAAAGGATTCCTCAAGTTAATTGTGATTTTCTATCATGACTCAGCATATTGCTACATAAATAAACTTTAAATTCCCATGTCACTATTTCATTTTGGTTAAAATTAAGAAACGGTTCTCTCTCTTTTTATTGTCGTAAAGTCCTTTTGTTACATAACTAATCACTTTTTTCTTTCTCCTTTTCTCTTTTCTCTTTGACTCAATTATAAGGGTTTTTTTCTTTAAGAATTTTTTTTGCCATTGTTTGCAATTTTCATTTATAACATTCATTTCATAATATAACGGTATACAAAGAAGAAATTATAAGAAAAACAAATCTGAACCCAATTTAAAATTTATTTAGATAATTTTCTAGCTTCAATTTTATCTGACTTTGTAATAGGCAATTTAATGAGTTTGTTATACAAAATTCATAGAGAAATTCATATATGTACATGAATACTAGTGCCATAGAATAGAAAAATACGCA